CGGCTGTTTAACTCTGCAATTTAGTACTGAAGCAATAAAACTAAAACTACCCAGAACATTGAATTTCAAATGGAATTCCTAGCCCCAACTGGAGCAGGTGAACTTTGCCCTATGTAAGAGATGAAACATTTTTATTATTGCACATTTCAGATGCGAGGAGAATGGTAAATATACCCCCCCCCAACTCTTCAGGAATGAGAAGAATTATGATAGCAATTTACATCACTAGATGCCACCATTTAGAGCCATAGTAAATCAGATAGGATAAGGATGGCTAAAAGCTTGTCTAGGTTCACCTTGGACAGCACAATTGTATGCTTGGTGCTCTCCAGGGTCTTGAAACTGCAGCCTAATGCTGCTTGCCAGTCTAAACTAACCTTAGGTGTCCACCTGGCCTCATGGACTTTTGCCGTAAGTCAGGAAAACATGTGAAAATTTTAAAAACCCTCACCAGATGGAAGTCAGGCATAGAACTACCAGGGAAAGGGTGTTTAAATCAACAGGGGCAACCCAGTTATGAAACAGGCTTGCCAATGATGCTTATCCTTTGGCCTTTTTAATGCCAGGTGAAGGCTTGTCTATTTACTCAGATCTTTTAAATGTCTGGGACTCTCAGTTTTAAAATCTGTGATTATGGTTTGGTGGTTACTAGTGTGAAGGTTTGCTTATTTATTTATGTCACTTCTGATTTTATGACTCTATGTTCCATTTTGGTTTTGTTTATCTAGTGTAAGCCACTCAGAGAGCTTTACAGGAAGAGACAGCAAACAGATATAAACAAGCAAATGGCATGGAACCAAAGCTTTGAAACTGAAAGTGGATTTTCTCTGAAAATAATTTGGTTGAGAGTGGGGAAAAGGGATTTCTTAGCAGAATCCCAGTGAAGGGTTTCACTTATCCCAATCCCAAAGTCATTTTCTTATAAATTTTTACAAACATTCATATATGGAACACATTATTATTATTAATAATAATAATAATAATAATAATAATAATAATAATAATAATAATAATAAAATTTATTTATATACCGCCCAGTGGTGAACCAATCTAGGCGGTTTACAAGCTAAAATACATACAAGTTGAATAACAAAACTCCCTCCCCCCCTTAAAAATCAATTAAACTAGATATCAATTAAAAGCAGTGATTAATTCAAATATAACAATAAAAAGACAACTGGATAAAACTGACAGTCCCATGCAACTTTATACTAACAGGGGCTGTAGAAACGATCTTGAAAGACACATTATCCTTTGTCAGTGAGTGCGTTTAAGCTTATCATCTTAAGAACCTTTTAGAAAAAAATTTTCTACCATCAGTGGGGCACTATTTTTACAAAATAATTAATACATAGATGTAGATTGTTTGCTTGTATCTAATTTATTTAAGAATATAATACAGATTTCTAAACTCTTTTCATAGGAAACATCAAATTGCACATTAACTTTTAAGATTTAACTTGCATGGAAAGTTATAGTTGCAACTGAACTATACACAATAGAACAGCTAGATTTGTATCATGAGTAAGGTCATTAAGAAACAAAGAAAATGTACAATCAGATCTTTGAAACATGCAGCTGCATAGTAGGTAATCCCTTAGCAACTTCTGTTGCCATGGTAAAGGTTGCCTTGCGTGGCTTTTGAACATTATTACACTCCAGTGGTACTTTGCAGGTGTGATCATATTTGTGAATAGATGCATTAAATGTTCGGGACATTGCTGTTGAGAAGACTGAATACATCTTTAATTCATTTAATGATACTTTCATCAGTAACTGAGTCAATGTACTTTTGTAATGTGAACATTAAGTTGCACAAAAGAAAACCAGAGATACTGGTCTTGATCAGTCTAGGGACACATGAAAAATCAAAGAACTTTCATAGGATGGATTTCTAATGCTAGGCGTGCTGCTCTTTCTGATATAGGATTGCTGTGTGTGTGTGTGTGTGTGTGTGTGTGTTGTGTAGTATACAGTAGAACACAATAGAGACTTGTGTTCAAATTACTATTCAGTCATAAACGGGGTGATCTGACCTACATGACAGGGCTTTTGTGCAGAGAGAAGCAGAGAATCACATATGCCACACTGAATTCCTTGGAGAAAATATGTGATCTAAATGAAAGCAATCAACCAGAAAATAAACTCCACTGATACACTTCAGTAGTCTGTAGCATAGTTTTTTCTGAGCAAAACAATGAAGATGCAAAACATCTTTGGTGCCACAGCACAATAAATGAAAGCTATTATGTAAATTTTAATGAATTTGGGATAAGATCTTCAGTATACAAAGGAACTGTTTTTTAAACAGAAGGCTGTCTGCTGTAATCATTTTTATTCTAATCAAAACATTATTGGGCATTGGACTATGACTATGGAGACCAGGGTTCAAATCCCCACTTGGCCATAGAAATCCACTGGGTGACCTTAGGCAAGTCACTCTCTCTCAGCCTCAGAGGAAAGCAAAGGTAAACTTGCTCTAAAGAAATCTTTCCAAGAAAACCCCACGATAGGGACATCATAAGTTGGAAACAACTTGAAGGCACACAACACACAACACAAGACTGGGTCACAGTGATACCACCATCCAGGGTATTTTTCTCCCCTTATCAAAAGGCCACTGTTGAGATAAATGGGGAAAGGCAAAGGCAAATGGTCCTATTTGCAAAATTCAAAAGCAGTTACATGGGCTAAGTAAATAAAAATAAACATTTTCCTATTTTTTTTTTAACAAACAATGATAAGTTGTTCCTTTTAGCACTGGAAAGAGGAATCCTATAACATGAACAGGTTTTCCAAAGGGGGGGGGCATTATTGTTGTCCTGACAGGTATCCTGATTGTTGTTCGTGAGTTTTAGTGTTCTTCTGCACTTTAGTGTAACAGCAAGGGAAAGCACTTAACCTCTTCCAAAATGAAACCTAAGCCCAAAGTTATAATGTGGATAGTCCTCAAGGCCTATCCTGAATCCCCCCTACCTCTGGACTGCTGTTCATATCTGATCTGATTATGAGACAGAAGTTTTGTAATCAGACCAGATATGAACAGCATCCCCTACAGAGAAAGCTTGGAATAACCATTTTTAAAAAAATACCACAGGTCCCAGAATTCCACAGCTATCATGACCACTACTTCAAAAGAAGTAAAATTAAGCTCTGCAAATAGGTCCCAATGCCATCGGCATCACTATGTGCTACCCACCACCTACCTTTACAACGGAATAGGGCTTGACCACATTTTCCCAACAATGGTGCTGCGAAAATACAATTTTCTGCAATAGAAGCACATTGGGATCCTCTGCAGAATCACACACATTAGTCCTGATGCTGATCCAGATAAGGCAGGGTAGGCAACCTTTTTGAGCCGGGGGCTGGGTTGCTGTCCCTCA